AACTATCCTGGTGGCCCTCTCTCAAAAGTATGTATGTCCTGTATACAGCTCTATGCGCTCCCCTAAGGAAACTCATGCTACCTCTACCCTGGGCTCCCTGAACTAGGGCTCCTTGCCTGGCTTCATTGAATTTCTTAGCAGGGCCACAGAGGGCAGCTTTTTCACACGGCCAAGAAGGTGAGAAGAAGCAGAGGAGACCTTGAAAGAGCAATACTCATTACAAAAACTTCCTAAAGCCTCGTCGATGGGAAGACTGTCTGCTCAAAATGCAGACCCCAGCATTTCTTTCATGTCAATCCATAGGTTATGAAGTGTTGACCTGGACTATGTAGCTCTGACACAGGTAGTCAGCAGACCACCCTTGGAAGTAGCTTAGTTCTGCATTGATAGAGCATACGCAGATTTCTAGGGAAACGGTCATTGGAAGCTAGGTCAGAAGGTATCAGCTAAGCCCATGGCCAGGTCACATGGGAAACAAAGGGGAAAGGAAAGAGGGAGGAGATGTCACTTAAACCCTAGTGCGCTGTTGGCAAGGCAACGCCAAGCAAGCACAGAGATGACTGAGCCCAGGACAAGACCATCTAAGAGAGGTACTCACAAGCTTCCCTGCTCCGGGTGAAGCAGAGCAACCATAGTAGAGTCACACACTGCTAACCACAGGAGTGAACAAGACCTGTGTGACCAACGGAGTGATCCCTTAACTCTACTTGGCAAATATCTGAGCAGATGGCTCTTTGTTTCAAATCTTCAGAGCCGGACTCTGGAGATGGCACAGTCTATAGAGCATTTGCCTTGCAATCTTGAAGTCCTGAGTTTGAGCTTCAAAACCCAGGTTAAAAAATAACAACGACAAAAATCTGGGCATAGTGGCATATGACTGTAAGCCCACCAATGAGAAGATGGAGGCGGGTAGGTATCTGGGACTCACTGGCTAGCTAGTCTAGACTGCTTGGAAAGTTCCAGGCTAGTAAGAGAAACAGTCAAAACAAAAAAAAAAAAAAAGTGAACAATGCATGAGGAACAAATAAGGTTGACTGCTGGCCTACACACACACACACACACACACACACATACACATACACCCTGCCTGCCTACGTACTAACTGGGCCTCCTTACGTCCTAGGCTCATTTTCTATCAGGAAACATCTCATCTTGTCGGTGAAGCTACAGTCTGTAGCCACACCTGGTGAGCTGTTCCCAGTCCAAGCTGTGCCTGCAGGCTGCCAGGCCTTTACTCTGCAGGAATGTCCTTGAGCCCAGGCCTGCCTCATACACCTGGCACTGGAGGCTTAGGTGAGCAGTCAACTCTGGGCAACATTCCCTGGCACCTATCCCCACCACCTCCTCCCTCCCTGGGCTAATTATCCCCCCTTTGCCGTAAACTGAGCATTTTGCACAAGCTGCCACGACCGAGTCAAGCTGGAATCCTACAAATGTCATATGTGACGTGTATGCCTGTGTATGGATGCATTTGTGGGCGTGCGGGTGCCAGCAGAGACACGAAGAAGGTATTACATCCCCTGGAGTTAGACTAAAAGGTATTTGTGAAATGCCCAATGAGGGTCTTCGGCACTGAATTTTGGTCCTCTATAAAAGCAATAAGTGCCCATAACCCCCAAGCCATCTCTCCAGCCCCCATATGTGGTAGTCTTCCTCACTCCCTCACATATTGCATTCCCCCAATGGATGGGAACCCCCATATCGGCAACAACAGTAAAAATTACCAGAATATGGGCATTAGCAAATCTAGAGCTCAGGGCTGGTGACCAGGAGCTCGGAGCTAATAGGCTAGGTCCAGCTCTTGCTGGCATTTGTAGAAACACTTGCTGATTCTCTCCTGAAGTCTTGGGTGACAGCTTATTCCTATCTCTGGCTAAGACCAATAGCATCAGAGGCACACAAGCATCAGAGCGTTGACTGTACCCTCAAAACTGGACGTGGCCCTCTTAAGTTCCCCAAACATGGAGTTCCTGGAAACATTGTCCTCTGTTAAGCTAAAGGTGACGAGCTACCCCAGTAGCATCGCTCTTTACAGCTGTTCTTCTTTTGTGGCTCTTTGCTTGTTACCTTTGGAAGCAGGGCTGCCCCAAAGGCACTGAGTCTGATTGTCAACAGACCTTCATCTCTGTGACTTGGGTGTACAAATCCTGGGCGCCATCCCTGACTTCCTCCCAAAGGGCTTTCCTTCGAGAGTCACCAAGGCACGGTTCATGGGTTCATGGGTTCATGGGTTCAGAACATATTTCATTAGCCCTCCCTTAAAGTCTACAGGGAGGAAATCTGTGGATCGGCTGGGATGACGTGCCTGCTTCCAAACAGGGAAACGCGATCAGAGAGCGGGCACATCTCCAGGAGAGGGGCGGGGGAGGGAGGTCTCTGGAGCAGTGGTTCTCAACCTGTGGGTCGCAACCCCCCCTTTGGGGATTGAACGACCCTCTCACCGGGTTTGCACATCAGGTATCCTGCACATCGGATATTTATATTACCATTCACAATAGTAGAAAAATTACAGTATGAAGTAACAATGGAATACTTTCACGGTTGGGGTCACCACAACATGAAGAACTGTATGAAAGGGTCACAGTATTAGGGAGGTTGGGAGCCGCTGCTCCAAAGCAGAAGCCAGCAAAGAGGAATTGCTCTCTCTGGGTTAAAACTTGCCTCTCATCCTGGGAGACAGGGCAGACACGACAAGCCCAAGTGGGCGATGAACTACACCATCCACGCTTGTCAGTGTGGCGGGGAGACCAGACTCACCAGGCCTGGAGGGGCTTCCCAAGTCTTCCAGGGCTGTGAAGACACCCATCTCCTCCTCACCACAGTGCTGCAGAAAGGAAGACAACTTCCTCCCCAAAGCTAGCCTCTGTCAAGGCGCCAGGAGCTTCTCTGAGCGAACAAGGGGTCATCTGTGTCCCTGCTCCTCCTAGGCTCTCCCGGAAGCCGTTATCTGTCTGAACCGCCACCCCCAGTTTGTCCTCAGGACCAGTCTGGTCTCTGTATGTAATATTTGTAATTTCATAGGAAACTCAAGACTTGTGCCAAAACACTTGTGCCAAAACACGACCGACGTCTGTTCACGTCCTGCAGTGGGAGGTGACTGCAGATCCCCCACGGAGGACACAGGAGGGGGCTTTGGAGAAAGACTGCAAAGTGGTGCTTTTTTTTTTTTAACTTAACAATCTTAGAAGAAGCCAGACCCATATAAACAACCTCTACCAAGTTTTCTAATTCACTACACGAGCGGTTGTGTATTTGTAAACATTTCGTAAGTGTTCTGAAGAATATTTGAAGGGAAAAGTGAGAACATACAAATATGTACAGGTGGCTAGACCCTTTTAAGACAAATATTCCCGGAAGAAATTTAAGCAGACAGCCTGTGAGCCCATTTCACTTTACTCCGGAATTTTCTTTTTTGTACAGACATTCCCCCAACAAATGTTAGCATCTACCATGCACTAAACACTAGTCTATCATTTTAGCACGTAATAACTGGATTATTACGTGCTAAATGGGCTAATTGGGCAGATTTTAGCCCATCTGCCAACTGGAAACTGCCCAGAAACCACTCCTTGGAATGTTTACTCCAAAGGTAGAGAGACAGAGTAAGAGGAAGGGAAAGGGCATTTTTTTTTTTCAATTGCATCAAGATCCAACTGAAGTTCCCGCTCCTTGTTCCCAGTGAATAACACCAGTGTTCAGTAGGAAGGCTGCATGGGGAGGGGAAGCAGGGGTGGCCCGCATCTGGGAAGCTCTCAGCCTTTTCTGATGGTTTGAATGGATCCTCAGGATGAATTTAATCCCTAGTTTAAACACATATGTGGGACACACACACACACACACACACACACACAAAAGCATTACTTTCCATGCATATACCTTGAGGTTCACAAGTAGTCACTGATATTACACACCTGCCATGGTTGGGGGCAGAAATCCTGGGGGGGTCCTGTTTGTCTTGATGGGACCCCCCCACTCCCGACACACACACACCAAGATTCCAGAAAATTCAGGGAGTCCATGCATGCAACTTTAATATTTAAAATGTGTCAGTCAGCAAGGGATAGGAGAGAGGAAAACCTGGCCTGCTACTAGAGGGACAAGTGCAGATGTGTCAGCTTTGATGACAGGTGCTTAAGGCTGGCTGCTAGGTGGCTTTAAACAAGACAGACTAGAGAGAGGAGAAATCTCCCTATGGTGGGCCTTAGGACCAGTGAGAGGCAGTCCGGGGTCCCCGAGGAAGCACAGGCATAGCTGAAGGAATTGCACTAGGCTCCCTCCTTTTTCGGAAATGACTATTCCCAGGTGCAACCTGGACATTTCAGTGCTTCTGTCTCTCAGGAGAAGAACACCCACACGTAAAAGGAGCTCCTGGTGTTCCCAGCCCCGCAGGCAGCTGCAGTTCCTGACCTACCCAACCCTCCATGGCAACAGTTTTCCAGTCAGAGAAGTAACGCAGACACCTCTTGGGAGGATGCTCCGTGGGGCTGTCAGCTCAGGAGCCAGGGACATCCAAGGAGACCTAGGCTGACCCTGGCTGCCCCGTCACAGCAAGGGGTGGCGGAAGATGGGGCCAAGAACAAAAACAACCAGCCATTATCAGCTTCAAAAGATCATGGAGAGAGAAACTTCCCTATGGCATCGGCCAGGCTGCATGTCCTGGTTTAAGAGGCAGCCTAAATCCCAGGGACAGGTGTGCAGAGCTGGTGAAGGCTCAGACTTGGGGCACCCGAGTTAGGGGGCCGCCTGACGCGCTTCCAGACTAGGGGCTACTATGGAAGCAGATCCCATTCCCAGTCAGGCATGCTAGGATCACTGTGCACCAAGGGTCCCCAAGAAAAGGAGAGGGTTGCCTTTGATCCCACCGGGAACAGCCCAGGCACCAACCAAGGAGAGAAACTCGAACCCAGGCCCCTGTGGGACGCAGCAGCTCAAACAAAGTTGGGGATTCCAGAGGCTGGGTCTTTGGGTCCCCCCCCTCCCCGCGGCGCACCACTACTTACACGAAGACCCCAAAGAGCAGGGCTCGCACCCCGATCTCGATGGCCAGCTCCCGCATGGTGCAGCCGGAGTAGCTCCCGCAGCGGCAACTGGCGCTGTCCGTGGCTCCCACGGCTCGGCCGGAGCAGCTAGCCAGAGACTGGGCTGTAAGGGAGGCGCGCTGCAGGCCGCGGGCCGGGGTGGGAGGCGGGCGCGGGGTGGGGGCGGCGAGAAGGGCTCAGCTCCAGTCTCACGCTCTGGGCTCCCGGATACCCAAACCGGTCGCTTCAGGTCTCACTCGCGATCGCGCCGATCGGGAACGCTTCGGGGACTCCCTGCTCCCTTGAGCCGGGTGCAGTTTTCGTGCCCTGGACTCGCGCCCCGCACCCGCGACCCGGGAAGGGAAGCCTGGGGAAGCCCCCGCTGTAGTCGCCGGCCTCCCCGAGCGCGCTGCGTGGCTTCCCAGCTACTGGGCGGCCCCTGGGCTCTGCGCCCGGCTGCACGCTCTGCCGGCGGCCGCTGCGCGCCTCCTCTCCAGCCCGCGACTCCGGCTCTCGCTCTCTGCTCCTTCCACACACGCCCGCACGTGGGCTTGAAGTGGATGGGCGCCTTGGGGATTCTCTCACTCAGGGCACTCCAGGCATCCTCTGGCCCTGCCTTGGAGCACTTATTCCATCCAGCTTTCTGCCTCCCTAAGCCTTACCAACCTCAAATTCTTTCCTTTCCCACCCCTGACTCTAGGAAGTTCCCAAGAGGTTGCTCCCAAGCTTCGCTTTCTCTCAGAAGGTGCCAAAGAGGCATACAAAAACCTTGGCACAAACTGAGAGCAAAAAGTGAACCCGGGCCCCTTCCGCCTCGTGCCACCAGTGCTAGGTAGTATCTGGGACTCCATCTCTTCCCCCACCCTCAGTGGCTTTGGACAGCAGCAGCCCTAATACATCCATCCCTGGCTGCCCAAGACAGGCCATCATTAGGCAGATAGGCAGCAGGTAGAAGCAGGAACCTTGGCCCCATGGCTCAATCAAAAATTCAAGTATAAATATCAGTGACCTGGGGGTGGCGACCACAAGCCTGATCTCGGCTTTGCTTTCCCATCGCCTTTTGGAGTTATTATTCATAATTGCTGGGTTGTCTCTAGGGAGCTCGGACTTTTCCTGGATTTTAGGAAGGACCACTTCAGGATTCTGTGAGAAGGGATGAGTTAGAAGTTGACTTCTGGTCCTGGGGATCTGACATGGATCAAAATAGCAGGTAGAAAGCAGGTCTTGGGCGGGAAGCTTGGGTATCAGCAAAAGGTAAGCAGACCCTGTACCCAACGGCACAAGCCGGACCTTAGATGACTGATCCAAGGCACCTCAGGGAGGGAGCCGGGCTGTGTGGAAAGAACACCACATCATCCCAGCAACTGAAGACACGGGAGCAGTGTTTGCTTTCTCCATCATGTGCCCCGGCATGCCATGGGTGCTTGGTGAGCATTGCTGAGCATGCGTGACTGTATACATAGCCAGGCACATGGGACATCACAAGCAGGGAGATGAGGAGGGCTATGGAAAGGAAGGATGTCGCTGTCTCCCCCTTGACTTGGGCCTAGCAACTATGAAAACAGTCGTCTTTACACAGCTGGATGAGATAGTCCAAGAGGCCCATGGTGAGCTCTGGCGGCCTACAGTTGAGGCTGCCAGGTAGCCATGTTCTGGGTGGGTGCTCACAAGGATGCTAATGTTGAGGCATCAGTTAACTGTAAGCACCAACGAAGCCGCTGTGCAAAGTAGAGTGCTGGATACTAGGATTAATAGCTCACCTCTTCCCTGGAGTAGAGGGCATCTGCCAGTCACACAGAAAAGTGAGACGGGTTAGGTGGGTGGTGGAGATCACAAAACGTGAACCGTAGGTTTACGGTTTTATTTGTGGTCTGTTGGAGGCCAGGCCTCAAGTACCTCACGCTGGCCTCAAATCCAAATCCTCTCTGCAGTCCGAAAGATTGGCTTTGGATTTCTGATCTCCCTGGGTTATAGGCACGCACCATCTTTACAGCATGATGAGCATTATTGTTTTCCTTTCTTATTTGTAGTAGAGTTACCTGGAGAGAGAATTTGAAAGGGGATGCTACTTCAAAGCAAAAGAGATACAGAAACAAGCCAGTCACAGCCCTTTGAGCTACTATGGTGTCCTACCTCAAGATGTGCTAGGGCACTGGTGGCACAAAGCTTGTGGGTGCAGCCAGCCAGTATCTGATTTGACTTAAGGCTCACTCCAGGAGATGGAACCCACACCTGACACAACTTGGGGGACAAAGAACCTGAGACTAGATAGCCCAGGGTCACGGGTAAAACCAAATACTACTGTTCTTAAAAAATGTCAATAAAATGACTCCTAATGACATTCTGCTATACTCTTAGATCGGCGTCTTGATCGGCGATCATCAGAGAAGTGTCCTCCTGCAGCAGGCAGAAACAAATATAGAGACTCATAGCCTGACAGAATGCTGAGAATGAGAGACCTAGAAGCAACTGGCCCTAAAGGAGCTCAGAGAACCCTGGGAAAGAGGAAGCAGGAAGAGTGTAAGAGCCAGAGGGGATGGAGAACACCAAGGAAACAAGACATCAGCACGGCCAAAGCTCGCAAGATCTCACAGAGACTGAGGCAGAATGCACAGGGCTTGCATGGGTCTACAACAGTCCTGACGTATATATCATGGCTTCCAGTTTAGAACATTTATGGGGATCCCAAGTGTGTGAACAAGAGGGCTTTTGTTTCTCGTGCCCTCTCTTGAGCTATTTCCCTGCTGTTCGTTTGCTTTGTCCAGTTCTGACGTGATAGTTTTTGTTTTATCATATTATATTTCATTTCGTTATTACGTTTGTTTTCTAATGAAAGACAGAAAGAGAGAGAACCCAAATGGGAGGGGAGGTGGGAAGGAATTGGGAGGAAAAGCCGTAATCATGATATCTTATGTGAGGAGAAAAACATCTATTTTCAATAAAAGGAGAAAAAAAGAAGAAATTTAAAGACGAGTCCAATCCAAGCCCTACTTCTCTTCTGATGCTTGAACAAATGCTGTGTTTTGTCATCTGAGACGTTCATTGCGGGCTGTCCATCCTGGCTCTGGAAAGGCTCTCACCTTTGAGAGAGCTTGTCTAGCCTTCAGGCAGCTCCACTGAAAGGCCACCTTGAAGGGGACTCATTAGTCTGCAGCTTCTATCAGAGCAGACATCCTACTGGCTCTGGTCCTGTCTACCGGCTACAGACAGCCACTGTGGTCAGGGCAGCCTCAGAGCAAGCAACAGGGGTTCCCACCTGAATTTATTTATAGAAGAAAAGTTATTGCAAGGTCCACGGTCCTGTCAGCTTCAGGTTCCATTCATTCAGAGGACAAGTAACACCATCAGGGCTTGATATTTTTTTTCAGCTTTCAGTCATGTCTGTCCTATAGTGACCTACTTGGAGTCCTAAGAGTTTAAAGATTACTGCAAGAATTCTATTACTCGGAATCAGTTTGAGAATAAGACCCTTGCCTTGACCCCATGACTCCCAACAAAAGTATCATTCTGAATGACATTCTCACTTCAACACCTGAACCAATCACCATGACCAGAAAATCATAATGGATTGCTTGTCTCAGGCCTGGGTCACTGCTTCATCCCAAAGCTCCTGATTGTAAATGAGGCCAAGGTGAGCCTACAGGCAGGGCTGATACTTTGGAGTACCATGCAATTTGATGAGGTAGTGAACAACCATCAGTACCATGACCCTGCAGAATGAAGACATCTAGATGTTGTGTACCTCTCACCCCCATGTTCTAGCCAACCAGCAGTACCTTGTGATCTGAGCGCTCCGTGATAGGCTGCCTATCTGCTGCCTTTGTCAATACAGACTGTAGGGCAGACTGAAGCGAAGCTAGGATGGCTTTCCAAATGCTTGTCTTCAACTGCTGTAAATGGAGACTGCATTTGGTTTTCCAGACACCCAGACCTAAATAATCACACAAAAACTATATTAATTATAGTACTGCTTGGTCAACAGCTCAGGCATATTCCTAGCCAGCTTTTACAACTCAAATTAACCCATTTCTATTATTTTATGTTTTACCGCAAGGCTTGTGGTGTGTTAACTCATATCTGGCATCTGTCTGACTCTGCCTTCTTTCTCCCTACATTCAGTTTAGTTTTTCCGCCTAGCTATATTCTGTTCTGCCAAAACACCTTCTTTATTAACCAATGGTAATAAAACATTCACTGCATACAGAGGGAAACCCACATCATCTCCTCTTGTCTGTCTAAATAAATAGGAAGGTTTCAACTTTAATATGGTGAAATTACATATAACAAAACAGGTATCAAGTAAGAATTACAGTTATAATATTTAGTCTATTTGTATTGACAAAACTGAAGAAAATATTTTATCTATTTTATCTTTGCGAACCTAAAGCTTTTAATGTATCTTTTATCATAACTGAGGAAAACTGTAACTGTGTGTCTTCTACTCCATCAAAGAACTTACGTAAAGAGAAAGTACATTGTAAGCAACTTTCAAAACTCTAGAATTTACAGAGACATCTTGTTGCCTGGATAGTCACTCAAAGTTTTCTGTAATGTTGGGGCATCCATCTTCAGCCTATAGGCCCATCTATATCTGGGAGGCTTTTCTATGAAGCAGAAAATTTGAAAGACTGTTTTGCCTATATTGGCAGTTTGTCACTTTCTTCTGTGTGCTGCAGAATGCCTAGCAGACTCTTTCATAAAGCAGGAACCCTTGAAAGGACTGTCTCACCTTCTTTTGGCAAGCTTGGCAGTCATTTTTCTGTGGGTCCTACATGTCCAATTTACACAGTAGATCATCAAACAGTCCAGGCAAGAGGAGTTTCTTGCTCAAATGGCTAACAACATAAGGAGCCTCTTTGATGCCCATCATTCTCTTGAAGTAGATTTGTGCTATCAGAAGAAGACATGTCTCATTATTGAAAAAAGTGTAAATTCTTAAAACATTTCGAATGCCTTATTCTGTAGGTCTTTGAAGTGTTGAAGATTATCTATCTAACTGAAATATATCTCTGTATATCTAGAAAAACTAACATGACCCCAAGTTTGACTATTATAAATGACTATCTATTAATCTATAATTTTTAATTATTTATTACATTTTTAAATGAGCTGTATAAACATAATACCTTAAACAGGAATAGAAATACACATATAACAAAATTGATTGTAAATTTGGATTAATAAAGCAAAGTCCATCTCAATGCAAAGTATTCATTTCTATATAATATCCCCCATTTTTAGAAAGAGATTGACTGTGACCATTAACCATTTATAATCAAGCCCTTTTAATTAAAACAAACATTTATAAACAATCATTTTGGGAATTTGGATGCTGTTTTCTCCAAACTGCTTCCTGTTGTTTGTTGGGTGAAGTATTTTTAGGGTTCATGGAGAACTTTTGGGGTTTCTTCTTCTTAAACCACATTAGCCTGAAAGGAATCCACAG